GATTCCACGCGACAAAAAATGACATTTGTGTCGCGAGGCCAAAACGTATTCAAATGATTTCGGACAAATGAAAATGTTTTTCAGCAGAGCTGTTGGTTTAATTTTAAATCCCAGTTAAATAGAGCATGTAAATTTACAACAGGTCAAAATGAAAGTAAAATTTTAAATTACAATAATTTCTGGCAGAAAATAGAAATATATGATCCATAAGTCATGAGCACTAAGAGGGGGAGCATTTGTAGTTTGAATTCAGAAATTAAATTAAATTAAATTAAAAAAATATGTTTTTTCTCCTGAAAGTGAAAGGTTTTAACAAGTCAGACTATCCAAGAGCTGTTGTGGATGTTGATGCTATAGCTAGGAAGGATCTCCAGTAGCAGTCAGTCATGCAACGACCCTGACAAGTCCTCTGACTGAAGTCTGTTGCTATAGTCATCACATGCTAACAGCTCAGTACCCTGGCAGCAGAGACCATTTTCCTGGATGACCTCATCAGTTTTGTCCACTGGTGCTGCTGCCCATAAATAACGCTGCGCGTTAAATGGTTTATTTTAATTCAGTATTCCGAACCTGAGAGAAAATGTCATCAGAACCAACGTAGCAGAGCTGCTCCACCATGCTGCCACCTCATCAGAACCTCACTCTTCTTTACTGGAAATATTTCCCACCTTCACCAGTCATAGTGACTTAAACCAGTGAGGACGTAGTAACTGCTGGTACCAGATTCCAGGCCCATTCAGCAACCAGCTATGTTTTCCTGTCTTCCCCATATTGAGGAATAGCTCAGAGGAACTGGGTTCTATAGAACCCTCCCTGGGTTTGGGTAGCTGTCCCCTAACCGCTCCTGTTCTGTGCGGCAGGTCAGCACTGGGCCAGCAGGTCGAGTTAGCCAGAACCCAGAACCGCAGCAGCATCATCAATGGTGTGTTTACATCCGAGAGTCGTCACGTTCTGCTGTGTCCGCTCAATGACCTCTGACCTCCTCAGCTGGCATCACGGTGAGTGTTTGTAGCAGCTACTTCTGCTACTGTAGCCACTGTTGCTAGCTGCTGCTCGCTGCTAGTAGCAGCAGCTAGCAACAGCAGTGGCTACAGTAGCAGCTAGTAGCTGCTGCTGACCTGGCTGTGCTGCAGGCTGCACCTGCATGGCGTTTGCGAAGCTGGGAGGAGCGTTCTGCCAAGCTCAGCACCTGCTGCTCATCGTGGACAAGTGAAGAGGAGGACGCGCCGTCTCTCCCAGGTCAGTGACTCGGCACTGCAGCTGCAATGCATCATGGGTGATTACTAATGAGCGAGGCGTTTTCAGGTCCAACCCGCCGTCCTGTCGAAGACATATGAAGACGAGCCAATTGTCAGCCTGTGCCGTGTTCTGGAGGCGGAGCTTCTGCTGCCAGCCAATCCTCGCCGCTCCTTCTTCTCTCTAGAGGAAGAGGCCGATCCAACGGCCAGTCTCTGTTGCCAACTGCTGTCTGTCCCGCTGGTTCTAATCCAGTTGCTGGTTTTGATCCGCTGCTAGCAGCTAGTCGGTCCAGACGGTGAAGATGAACCGCCCAGCGCCAGTGGAGATCTCCTTCGACTGTCTGCGTTTCCTCATCACGCACAACCCCACCGATGCTCAGTTGGGGAAGTTCATCGAGGTATGGACCTGACCTCCTCTCTTCCTGGTAGTGGTTCTGGTTCTGACCCGCTCTGTCCTCCTGCAGGAGCTGAAGGCGTACGGCGTCACCACCCTGGTGCGGGTTTGCTCTGCCACGTATGACCAGGCGCCGCTAGGCCAGGAGGGCATCCAGGTTCTGGTGAGACCCGACAGATCCTCCTGTCGCGCCGACCAGGTTAGCCTTCCTCCTCCTGAACCGCTTGTCTCCGCAGGATTGGCCGTTCAATGATGGCTCCGCCCCCCCGGAGCAAGTGGTCGATGATTGGCTGAACCTGCTGCAGGTGAAGTTCAGGGAGGAGCCGGGCGGCTGCGTGGCGGTGCACTGCGTGGCCGGACTGGGCCGGTCAGTAAAGCATGGAAACACACCGTCACCATGGAAACCACTTGCTCATTCCGACAGATCTGACGTTCACATAATCAGTAGTTGTGCAAAAAAATCAAACCTTAAAATGAAAATTAATGCTGGACAAAATCAAACTGAAAAGTGAATGTTGAAGAAAAGTAAAATGTTAAAGCCTGCAGGCATGAAGGTCCATGAAGGAACGCTGAAACACTGACTGCTACAGCTGCGCTGATGCACAACAGTGACAGAATCAGAACGCACTCAGAGAGACGGGTCAGCTAACGCTAACGCTGTGAATGAACCAGAACCAGGCTGAGTCCTGCTGCAGGCCAGAGACCCATTTCAGCTGAACCTGGACCTGATGGAGGTTCTCTTAAAGGTTCTGTTAAAGGTTCTGTACTGACCCGGCTGTGTCTCCCCAGCGCTCCGGTTCTGGTGGCTCTGGCGCTGATCGAGTGTGGGATGGAGTACGAAGACGCGGTCCACCTCATCAGACAGTAAGGGATCTTCTGTTGGTGCCGGTTCTTCTGCTGGTCCGGTTCTGACCGGATCTTCTTCTCTGTGTGCAACAGGAAGCGGCGCGGCGCGCTGAACGCCAAGCAGCTGCACTTCCTGGAGAACTACCGACCCAAACTCTGCCTGCGCTCCAAGGACGCCAATGGCCAGAGCTGCTGTCTGCAGTAGGCCCAACGGAACCGGGTCGGCAGAACCCTCTTCATGGAAACCAGTTTTGATTCATTCCTCATGCAATTCAGACCCGGTTCTGATCCGTTGGTTCTCACAGGTCTCAACCAGCCTCTGTCTGCTCCTATAGCTCCCCTGCTGCTCAGTTTGACCTTTGACCCCTCCTCATTCCTCTGGTTCTGATCCAGAAAAACCCAAAAATGTTGAATAAAGTTGTTTATGCTGAAACTTTTCTAGCAATCTGTCCAGAACCTCCAGTACCCGCCCACAGGTCAGCACAGCCAATCAGCTGATACCGCATTGGTTGCTATTGGATTGCCTTTTCCATGGAAAGTTCTTTCACTTCCTGTGAAATAATTTAACATTGACCTTCAAAATAAAGTTACAAACTAAATATTCAGGATTCAGTTTGTGACTAAAAATATGGTTAACGATCCAAAAACGGCAGCCATGTTGGACCCGACCCGAAGGCCCATAGAACCCGGCCAGCTGCAGAAAGGAGGCAGAAACACACCAGGTTCTTCTGATCCAGTCCGGCTCTGGATCAGATGAGGAACAGATAGGATTCAGAACCGTCTCTGAAGTTCTGCAGAACCGATCCAGGAGGTCCAGAAGAACCAGAACGTCTTCAGGCCTCAGCTAAGGTCAGAGGTCATGGTTTAAGATTTCCTCCAAGGGTCACTCCTGCTGTGGAACCTCCATTGAGTCAAACCAGGTGAAAGGTCATCCTCTGAGTAATCAGCGGTGGTTAGGGTGAAGGCACCGTGGACACATGGCAGCAAGTGACTGATGTCCTACAGCACTGTCTGGACTGCAGCAGAGTTACTGTACCAGAACCAAAACCAGACCTTACTGGGTTTCAGGTTCAAGCTAAATATTTAGCTAGCTAGTGTTAAGGAAGAATATTCTAAATTAGTTAACTTTGGAAAAAGTCTGGCTCTCTCTTCCTCTGGATCCCAGGTTCTCTCGGCGGGCCGCGTGTGGCCACAAGGAAAACAACAATGCGTGTTGACGTCACAGAATTACAGAATTTAATCCAATATAAGACCATGCATAAACTTACACCAGAAACTGCAGAACAACGGAGACATACATTCATTTACCTGACATAAATGGAAAGAAGAAGAAAAGCAAAGACGTGCAAAGACATCTTTTGAGAGTTGCAAGAACAAAATCTGATTTGTTACTTCTGTGTAGAAAGTTTTATCTTCTTATCTTTAATTTATTCAAATAAGGCATATCTTTGCTCATCCAACCAGGAGCTATCTCTGACCCTCTATCTGAAGCCTAAAACCCCTGCCATGTTTACGGCCTTTCACAGATGAGTGTGAAAAGCTACAACTTCCACTGTATTGTTTTCCCACAAACAAAAGGCAGTTCAAACGATCCTAGCAAACCATCTGCTGTAACTACAGGTAACATAAAGGTCAATAGGCCAGAATAAGTTACTAATTTCAAACCACAATTAGGCCATTTGGATCAAGACATGTTAAGTTTTAAAACTAGCTTATTTTAAATTTATTTTCTCAACACTAGCTAAGTTTGTTCATTTGGATTCCCATTATCCATCTGTCAACATATTAAAAAACATTTATTACAGTTGCACTTAGCATAATGCTGGCAACATAAAAATAGAATTGTAATAGTTTATTTGTTAAATAATTAAAGAGAATTCTTTGAAAAGCTCCAATATTTCAACATAAATGAGGCAGCTGTTGATGTTAATTCAGTATTTGGAGGTGTGGCCAAAACGAACTGAACTGTTAGTTCATTTCTTCTCCCAACATGAATGAAACCACGGGATGAAACTACAGGCAGGGTTCAACAGAGCTAGAACGCAGAAAATTGATGTCATCGTTCACCAAAAAAGAAAAACTCTACAAGAGATAATCCCAGTCAATGGGAGGAAAGCCAGACAAGCGAGATTTTAAGAGTGTTATGACTTAGGAAGGATTTAGTTTGAAGCTAAATAGTTAGCTTGCTAGGTAAATCCCCTGGGTGCTGGTTGTTGCTGTGCTGGCCTCCAGTGAACACCAGAGGGCGACACTGAGGATTATAACCAGCTGAACTCATCCATCATCCCAGAACTAGGTCCAGAACGGTTCTGATGGGTCAGAACCACCAGGTTGGCAGCAGCAGCATCATGCTGAGGGGTGATCTGATCAAGGCCAGCAGAGGAACGTCTCTCAGCTAACAGCGCTAACTTGTCCATGTTTTCAGCAGGATGATCCATAAGCAGAACCACCCGGACCGGGACATCAGGTATCAGAACCTCGTGCTGAAAGCCGCCTGCCTTTTATACCAAATAAATAAAAACGGAATAATACAAATTTCAGCTGCAGCTGCTGGCTCTGCCGGCAGAGGGCGCGCTGATCAGCAGCATCGATCCGCGATCGATACTTCTCTGGGTTTCTGCAGCCTTTCTCTTGGGGAGGAAGGAGAGGCGTGTTCGGAACCCTGACCCCTTTAGGCCCAGAAGGTCCTGCGGTTGCTGTGGGTTCGGAACATCAAACTGGGTCATTCCTCTGGTCAGTGAAAGCTGGAGCGGCGGTCCGGGCGGGCCGAGAGGGAGCAGCTCCGGAAGGAAGGAAGGGAGGGTTCGGGCTGCCTGAGAAAGTTCGGCGGAGGTTCGGGTATCTGGTTCGGTTCGGGACATAAACTGGACGCGGTAAAAGGAGGAACTGATTCCCACCGCAGCGGCAGAAATGTTACCGGTAAGTCTCCCCTTCGGTTCCGACCGACACTGACGGAAACTAACGGGAAGTAACGGAAACTAACGGAAACTAACGGAAACTAACGGCCGGGTAGATCCGCCGCTACTGGACCAGAACCAGAGTCTCTAAAGTGAGTACTGTGACCCCCAGGGGCCCCCGGCCGTCTGGTACCAGCAGGTGTCCGGGTTCTGGGCCCCAGTGTGGCACACTGCCCAGGGTGTCTCAGCCTGGGGCGCTTCATTTAAATAATAATAATAATATTGTTTAATGATTAAAGGAGCATTCCTTTCTTCTTCATCACCACAGAATGAAGTCCAAAGTGGGACTGGGGGCCATTTGTGGCTCCATCATGGCTGACATTTGGACTACCAGCACATTAAGCAGAAAATCCTTTTTTGTCAGTTTTTAGTATCGCTTTCTTCAAAATTAAATCCTCTTATTAAAAGTTGAAACGCTTTCCCAGCAACCCGTTCAAGCTGCTTCCTGACTGGGAATGAACCCAGAGCAGGGCCGTGCAGAGACCACTAAAGGGGCTGGTGCTCAAGCACCCCCTAATGCTGAGTCAGTGGTTGCTATTGCGACAGCATCCTGTCCGGTTGGTAGGGACGTGGTGGGGTGGCCAAGAGGGAAACTCTTTACGTTTACTGTAAGAGAGCGGCTTGACTTCCTGTCTCCTATCTAATGGCAGAGAGAGGAAACGGTAAAGCTCCGGCTTTTAATGGCTAGTGTTAGCTTTTATGCTAACTATTGGTGACATGTGTGCTTTTATTTTGGTAGGATTCTCGTGATCATAGCTATGGTAACGAACCTCAGATCTACATTTAACGGCAGAAAAAAGGATGTAAAGGTTTAATGAGGTTAATAACTGGGACTGAAGGTTAAATGTTTATGGATCTGTGATCGGAAAACAATTATTTTTTTTTTTTTCCTGATTTCCTCGTTACGTTGGCGGATGATGCACTGAAAAAAGAGAACAGCTGATCCAACTTAAATGTATCTCGCTAATTGGTCAGAAGTTATCAAATTAAGTTTATCCAAGTTAATTTATTGGTTTTATTAAGTTATCAAGTTAAGCAAATGTAAATAAAGTATTTTTGACAATTAAAATGTAAACAATGATTTTAAAGTATGAATACTTCTGGACCGGACAGCAGGTTGGATCCTGATTGGCTCCTGCTCTGTGATGATGATTTTTATTATCTGTTGCTGATCTGCCAATCAGACCTGGCCTTGTGTTTCCATGGCTACAGCTGATCCTGACGGTTTACCTCAACGACACCCAGCAGATGCTAACTGAGGTCCCTGTTACCACGGCAACCAGAGTGACCGACGTGGTGGAGTTCTGCAAGGAGGCGGGCGAGTCCGAGTGCCACCTGGCCGAGGTCTGGAACGGTCACGGTGAGTGGAACCGGGACAGAACCGGGTCGGAACCAGGACCGGTGCAGAGCCCCTGGCACACGGCGGTCTGTGTGACGTTCCTCTGATGGCGCTGGGATCAGGGGTCTAGGTCCAGGTTCTGGTTCTGGTGCAAATGTTTGCTAACGTTTCAGCAGCCACATTTCTGTCAATAACTTGAATATTAATAAAACTGGAAATTATTTCACTGATAACAGAAAAATATTGTTATGTGTGAAACAATCTTCCAGTTTATTTAGTCTGATAAGGTCCATCAGAACCGCATCAGAACCTCAAGGCAAGGATCAGTCTGCTGCCTCCAGAAAGTGACGCCATCTTGTCTTCCTCAGAGCGTCCGCTCCCTCAGGAGCTGCTGCTGCTGGATCTGCTCAACGCCTGGGGGGCCCGGAGGCCCGAGGTCCGCTACTACCTCAGGCACCGCCCCTTGTGGCCACCAGGTAGAACTACAACACCGCCCCTTGTGGCCACCAGGTAGAACTACAACACCGCCCCCTGTGGCCACCAGGTATAACTACAACGCCAAACTCACCTGGTAGAAAACTGCAGGTTGAGGTTTTATAGTGAGTTTTGGAAACAGCAGCCCATTCTGGGCGGGGTGGTCGGGTCAGCACCAGGGTCAGTACTGTCGGGTCACATGACTCATCTGGCCCTCGATCCTTTGAGTCTGAATGAGATTTTGTTGTTTGTTCTGCAGGAAACCCGCTGACCTCGGATCAGAACCGGACCTCAGTGGCAGCAGAGAGCGATGATGTAAGTATGTCGCGTTCTTCGCTCCAGAACCAGCAGCTTAATCAACAACCAGAACGCTGCAAACACAACAGAGCCTCCTGATGGTTCTGGATCTGTTTGCTCTGACATCAGCCTGCAGCTCCATTAGAACCCATCAGGCTGGACCAGAACCAGAACACGTGCAGGTAGAATCAGATGGATGATCGGAACCCGATCATCATGACGGCTTATATGATCTAGTCCAGTGGTTCCCAAACTTTTTCTTCTGCA